GGAAGAGAGATACTGACTCCTCTTTTTTTTCTTTTTTTGCCCTTTTTTTCTCCCTATTTTTTTCCCTTTCTTGGCCAGGGACCGTCAGTCTCTCTACAATGCGACCCACCCCCATCTTCCCCCGGACATGCAGATCGCAGCATCATGATGACCGTATACAAACATTGTTCTGGCCCAAATGCAGTCGTGATGCTGAGGCATTGTGTTGAGAGGAAGAAGGCAGCGCAATCTCGGCCCCACATGCAGCGGTGGCTGGTCTGGTCCGAATCGGCGGCGTCCTTTCCATCCACAGAACCGTGTGTATATGGGACCGTTGGAACCACGTTGGGACCATTTAATCACGCGGGAACAATCTCGCAACCATGGTGGAAGCATGTTGGAACCATGTTGGGACCATGTTGGGACCACGAACGATGTCGGAACCATGTTGGAACCATGTTGGAACCAGGCCAGAACCGTGCTGGGACCATGTTGAGATCATAAGTCAGTCTTGTTGGAACCATGCTAGAGCCATGCTGGAACCATGCTGAAGCCACGTTGGAACCATCTTGGAACCATGTTGGAACCATATGATGAGATCAGGAGCCATGTTGGAATCCACGTTGGAATCCATGTTGGATCCCATGTTGAAACCATCTTGAAGCCATGTTGAGACCGGGAACCATGTGTGTCGAACCACGTTGGGACCAAGAACCAAGTCGGGATCAGGTAGTTCAGGAACCATGTTTGAACCATGTTGGCACCATGTTGGGACCTTGTCGGAACGATGTTGGAACCCTTTCAATGAAACCATATTGGAACCACGTTGGAGTGGAACCATGTTGGAACCACGTTGGAGTGGAACTATGTTGGAACCGCGTTGGAACTATGTTGGAACCACGTCCCCAGGTACATGGTTCCAACGGCGATACATGGTTCCAACGGTGATACATGGTTCCAACGGCGACATTGGAAGCCACCTGCCGTGCGTGAACAGAGCACGAACACAAACCTTGCTCAAAGAGAGACAACAGGTAGTAGAGCGGGTTTGGGCCTTACCCTGCAAGGAGCATGGAGTTGGGAGTTGGGAGTTGGGAGTTGGGAGGGGGACGGCGCACTGGTAAGGGGTTGAAACGCAAGGGAGGCATAGGCTTTGGGAAATCTTATTAGGCGAAGTTACTTCTCTGTCTCATTTTAGATATTCGCCGATCATGTTTCAGCATTTTGGTTACTGAATACACACGCGCACATATCCTTACCCCCCTCCAACTCTCTCTCTCTCTCTCTCTCTCTCTCTCTCTCTCTCTCTCTCTCTCTCTCTCTCTCTCTCTCTCTCTCTTCATTAGTCTCCCTTAGTCTAGCTGTGACCGTGACCCGTAGCTCATCCACCCCCTTATTAACTCTTCTTTTCTCCGAAATCGCCCTTCCTTCCTCCTCCTCCCGCCCCTTCAACGCCGATCCGCACGGGCTTGCCACGTGGCATTACTTAGCGCGCTTCCTTCTCTGCTTTCTTCTCCTACTACTACCTTGTTTTTTCACCCGAATAGAACGCCCAGTCATTCTACCTATATCTGGACTGAAAGTTGCTCCAAAGACAGTTTCAGTGATCAGGAGTTCTATTCGCGTCGTGAAGACGGTACCCCGATCCTGACTTCCCTTCCACATTGCTCCTCCTCTCTTCTGCAGTGGGCACGAAACTCCTCCCTCCTTCCTTCTTCTACTGCTTTCTCCTTCCCCGATCTCGGCGAAGTTTCAATGTGAGAACACAACCCCCTCTACACCCCTTTCATTATTTCTTCTTCTTCTTCTTCTTCTTCTTCTTCTTCTTCTTCTTCGCCATACGCCGATCCCGACGTGCCTGGCACGTGGGATGCGACAGCCGCTTTCCCTTGCGCCCATATATATTACAACTACTCGACTTTACTTTTTCTTCTTCCTATTATTCTTCCTCTTCCTCCTCCTCCTCCTCCTCCTCTGACCCCGCCGAGCCTTCAACACTATCACCAACTGCTCCCCCCCTTCTTTCTTCTTCTTTCCTTCGCCCCTCATACTCCCCCCATCCTAAAGTACCTGACACGCGGCACGGCGTTGCACTCTCTCTCTCTCTCTCTCTCTCTCTCTCTCTCTCTCTCTCTCTCTCTCTCT